AGGGTCCTGGATTACACTTTTGCTCTGAAGCCATTGTAATTTTTTAATTTTAGCATTGTCTGCTGCTATGGTTAAACTGTGTCCTCCAAAAGGACATATTGAAGTACTAACCCCTGGTACCTGTGAATGTGACCTTATTTGGAAATAGGGTCTTTGCAGAGGTAATCAAGTTAAAATGAGGTAATTAGGGTGGGTCCTGATCCAATACGACTAGTGCCCTGATAAGCAAAAGAGACAACGGAGACTTACGGGGAGATATCACGGGCATGTCATGTGATAACAGAGGAGGAGCTTGGAGAGATGTGGCTGCAAGTCAAGGAATACCAAGGATTGCCAGTAGCAACCAGAAGCCATGAAGGGCAAGGAAGGATTGTACCCAGGGTCTCAGAGTGGGCATGGCCCTGCTGCCACCATAATTTCAGACTTCTGGCCTCCAAAGTTGTGAGTAAATAAATCTCTGTTGTTTTAAGCCACCTAGTCTGTGGTGGTTTGTCACAGCAGCCCTATAAGAAATGAACACATTGACCATATGGAGAGCTCAGGGACCTTCAAAATCATATTAACTGGCAGGTCCTGCATGTTAAAAGCTCTTTCCTTGAGATTCTCTCTCTCTTCCTGCACATCACTAAAAGCTGCAATAAGCAGGCAGGCAGCACCTTCAGCTTGCAGGATGGACATCTCCTTTGCTGGATCACTTCATTGATTGGGTACATTTTCTGTTTCCACATAACTTCAGGCAACAGCATTGCTACAGCTCTGCCACTACGTAACAAGGATCCCCCTCCTCCAGTTTCCAATAATTTTTACCTCATTTTCCTACAAGTCTTCACCCACAGGTTAAGACCATAAAGGTTTCTGGTAATAATTTCTTCAAGGTATTTTAGGCTTCCACTAGGACTCTTCTCAAAGCTCACTGCACAGGTACAAAGCCACAGTCCCATTGAGGCTTTCGTTATATCAGCATCCAACTTTTGGGTGCCCAAATCTGGATTAGGTATCTGCTGCTGTGCAACAACCTGCCCCAAACCTAGTGGATTACAACACCAAGTGTTCATTATGCACACAGTTTCTGAAGCCCAGGAATCCAGAAGCTGCTTGACGGTGTGCTTCTGGCTCAGGGACTCTGATGAGGTTGCAGCGAGTGTCGACTGTCCCATGCTTGCAGTCTCTGAAGCTGTAACTGGGGCTGCAGGGTACACTTACAAGGTTACTCATGTGGTTGTGGGCAGGAAGCTTCAGTTCCTTGCCACCTGGGCCTCCCCATAGGGCATGTTTATGACATGGTTTTGCCCAGAGTGATTAGAGATAAAGAGAGAGAGTGCAACAGAGTGACCAAGATGGAAGTCATAAGGTTTTATATCTGGAAGCAACATGCCATTATTTCTACTATATGTCACTCAGACCAACTCTGGTAGAGCATGGGAGAAGACACTCAAGGGTGTGACTATCAGGAGGTGGGATTCTTGGGGGTCCGTCTTGGAGGACAAAATGTAGTTGGCACATACAGGCTCATGGTTATGGGGTCATCATTTTGCCTTTCTGGTTAATGCTTTTGATAAGATTAATATTGCCAACTGGTAGTGGCTGGATTGTGTGTCTCTAAATTCAAACATTGATGTCCCAACTCCTAGTACCTCAGGATGTGACCATATTTAGAGATGGGAGTCTTGAAAGAGGTGATTCAGTTAAAATGAAGCTGTTAGAGTGGGGCCCTAATGTGATACGACAGTATTCTTATAAGAAAAAGTGCACTGGGGTGTGGGTGCATGGATGGATGGCCATGAGAGGTAGCAAGGGGACAGCCATTGCAAGCCAAGGAGAGAGGCTCAAAGAAAACCAACCCTTCAGGAACCTTGATCTTGAACTTCCAGCCCCCAGAACTGTGAGAAAATAAATTTCTGTTGTTTAAGGCACTCAGTCTGTGGTATTTTGTCATGGCAGCCCCAGCGAACTAATATAACAACCTTTCGAGAGATATCTGAAAATATCTTGCTGTTTCCCAACGCACATTTACTCGTTTACTTTTGAAAATCTTTTAAAATGTCACTTTTTGTTTTGATGTGTATAGTTATACATCAAGGCATATAATTAGATTTGTTTCTACACACAATGTGTAATCTAATCTAATCTGAGAGTCCGTGCTTTTACTAGGATTGAAACCTCTTTCATTTCATATTATAGCCCATTTTAAATCTAATCCCCCACTTTCCAGAGGTGGGAGCTGGAGGGATTTAAGGCTCTCTAGGATGAAAATGTATCAAAAGCTGCCTCTCCACTGCTTAAGGGATCATACTGTAATGGAAATGTTGTTTTCAAGGAATTACCAGATCAACTCAGTTCAAGATCAAAGCATTAATCTTCTGGGGCCAGAGAGAGGGGTCTTGAATTGAGCCAAATTAGAAGAGACAAAGGGGATATCACAATTAATGGGAAACAGATTTAGGGAAGCAATCCCGGAGAAATTCTCAAACCAAGGAGCAATTCGCAGTGGGAACTTTTTCACCAGCTCTCCTGGCCTTGGTGTGGATTCACTTAAAGGAGCTGCACCGGAGTGTCTTTGAGTCTCCTAAGAACATGCTTTCTGATTTGTTCTTTGCTCTGTTCCGATTACACAAACTTCTGACCACTTGTTTATCTTCATTGCTTTGTCTGCTGCAGTGATTTGGAAAACCAAGCATTCTATGTTCAGCAGTTATGTTAGCTTTCAATTTAATAAAACATATATTTTAACCTATGTTTCTCTAATTGCTAAAGTCAGAACAAAACAAGGTCTTTTGCTTGCCCTGTAATGAATGTAAGAAATTCAGTATGTTTTTACTTTGTCTTTCATCTTACCTTAAAAATAGTATAGACTCTTACAGAACCAGTTTATCAAGTTTTTTTTAAAAAAAAATCATGCTTTTTTCCAAAAAAATATTTTTAGCTTCCGTATATTTAATCTTATGACTATTTTTTATTTTTTTGAGACAGGGGCTCTCTCTGTTGCCCAGGCTGGAGTACAGTGGTGTGATCTCAGCTCACTGCAACCACTGCCTCCCAGGCTCAAGAGATTGTCCTGCCTCAGCCTTCTGAGTAGCTGGTACTACAGGAACGTGCTGCCACACCTGGTTAATTTTTCTGTATTTTTTGTAGAGATGGGGTTTTGCCACGTTGCCCAGGCTGGTCTCCTGAGCTCAAGCAATCTGCCTGCCCTGGCCTCCCAAAGTGCTGGAATTGCAGGCATGAGCCACCATGCCCAGCCAATTTTGTGACTATTTTTAAAAACATATAGTATTGGCTTCACAAGGACCGCCAATCCTTTTATATCTTGACTTCCTTATTTTTGAGTTATTCGTTTTGATTCTTTTTGGTGTCCTATGGAGTAAATTTTAAGATAACTTTTTAAGGAAGGCTATATTAGTGAAATTGCTTCTGATTCTTAGATATCTAAAAATATCTTTCTATTGCCTATACTCAGGGATTAAATTTGGCTTGGAATATTATGCTTAGATCATGAAGTTTCCTCTTTAGAAGAGTGCTTATTACTCCATTTGGAGCTAGTGAATGACAGCAGCTAGCCTAATTTTTTCTGTTTTTGAGTAAACTATTATTTTCTGTCTTGTTGCTCACATTCTATTCTCTTCATTCTAGATTTTTCATCTATGTCCAAGTATAAGTCTTTTTTTTTCCATTAGCATAGGATTTTTTTTACATGAAGGAAATTATTTTTCTATTATGTTTGTGATTATTATTTCTGCTTCTTTTGTTCCAGCACTTCCAAGAATATTTGTTATCCATAGGTTAGACTTCTACCATTTCACTCTGCTTCTATGTTCTTCCCTTACCATTTTGTCTTTAGCCTTTTCTTATATAGTCTTCGAAAACAGTTCACAGATCGCATTTTCTCCCTTGTTCATTCTGCTCTTCGCTGCAACTGCAGCATTTTTGGATATATCCATCTCTTATTTCAGCTGGCTCCATGTGGAGCCACATATGTGGAGGACATGTGGAGTGATTTAAACCCACCTGAATGCATTCGTGGGGTGTGGCAGAGCCTCACCTCAGATCTATGCCTGGGGGAGAAATTGATTTACACAATTCCTAGCCTGGCTTCTGGCAGGTTCTCATCCAGCGTGGCTCTGTTCCACGAGGGTGGATCTTGGCCGCTTTCTGCTTCCAGGGCACTTCTGTTTCCAAAGCACTTCCTAAGAGAATACCCATTCCCATGTACCATCCATCCTCTTCCCTTCTACCTCTGTTGTGTTGTACTAGGAGACATGACCTTGAAATTCATATAAAAAGGGGTGAACTGGATGGGGAGAATTGCAGGAACCCAATTCTGGCCCTCTTGGAACCTAATTCCCATGCAGAAGGAGAGAAGCAACCTGAACTCTGGTTATGGCAGCCCTGAGCCCCTGGCCTGGACATAGAGTGGAAGCAGTAAAGCCTTCTCCTGGGGTTCCATTGGCTATTCTGCGCTAGATCAGAAGATGAAACAGATATTACTAGGGTGGACAGTGATCCCTCAAACTAATCCCACTGGCACTGTACTTGGTGGAAATTTCCTCTAGATTTCTATTAATGCTGGCACAAGATTTTATGCTTTTGCAGAGCTTCATGGGTATTTTAATAGGAGATAGAATGCATCTTAGACTAACCCAATGTTAATTTTTACATATTCCTGATGCAGGTCCCCTCCCTGTCTTTGAGAACAATGTACTCTTTATACATATAAAACAATGATTTTTCAATTTTGATAAGGGCTGAAAATTATACCACTCATCAACTCCCATGGCAGCCACATGGTGCTTGCAGGTGGAATTCTACAAGATGACATAAAAGGGGTTAAACAGAAGCATCCTGGCCTCTAGAGCAAGCAATGGTGTCATGCAAAATGGCCTGTAGGAACTCTAGCTGCTTCCAGAAGCTTGTCATTAAGCTGACTCATCCTCTACTAAACTTAACAGATAGTTCACCAGCAAGGATATCCCTTAAACACATGTCAAAAGGAAAAGTACAACACCATGTATCTTTACCTTATAATAAATTCTGGTCACCAAACCCCACTGAAGAACCCTTTCACGAAATTTCACTGCTTTCAACAGAAAGGCAAGATCATCAACTGTGTCCATGTTAAATGCCAGGAAACTGAAAGAAAAATCACAGTGACCATCATTATGTTGGTCTCACCAAAGAATTTCATTTGAAAGAAATAGAGTGGGTTTGTTTTTAAAAATATTTTTTTTCCTGTAGAAAAATAGTGTCAGTATACATAATCTCCCCATCCCATCTCTCATTGACTATTCATAGTTCTTTCCAGTAATCTTAGCTCCAGTTTATTCTAGGTGGTTGTCCTTGTGGTATAGAGATGATTTGGTTTCCTAATTTTTCCACTTACTATTGTATTATAAGTAGTGTTCAATATTTTATATAGTCTTTTTTAATGAATAGCAATATGATTTTTGTCAAGTATAATCAACCATTATACAATTCATGTATGACTCAACCATTATACAATCTTTTTTTTTTTTTTTTTTTTTTTGAGACAGAGTCTCACTCTGTTTCCCAGGCTGGAGTGCAGTGGCATGATCTCGGCTGACTGCAACCTCCACCTCCTGGGTTCAATTGACTCTCATGCCTCAGCTTCCTGACTAGTGGGGACCACAGGCACGTGCCACTGTGCCTGGCTAATTTTTGTATTTTTAGTAGAGACAGGGTTTCACCATGTTGGCCAGGCTGGTCTTGAACTGCTGACCTCAAGTGATCTGCCTGCCTCAGCCTCCCAAAGTGCTGGGATTACAGGCACGAGCCACCGTGCCTGGCTCCCATTATACAAATCTGTCAAGTGAGTTTATAATAATAACCACTATACAGCTCTGTGAAGTGAGTTTATAATAATAACCGCTGCTGGGTATTTACTATAATTATTATAATTGGATATTAATAATCAAATGTATCTGTTATAAAATATTTATCAATTAATAATATTTATTAAATATATTATATATCAGGAATTGTGCTCATTATTTGCTGTGAATTATTCAATTTTCTCAATAATTCTAGAATATGATAATTATCCAGTGAAAAGTTCAGGAAACTGAGGCTCAGCAAGATTTGGTAACTTGCTCGAGGTCACACAGGCAGTCGAGCTCAGGTTTTGTTGGGGAACATCAGTGTTTAAAGCAAGAGGCACCCCGGAGGGAAGTGAGAGGGCTGTGTGCAAGCACAGGGGAGGGTGTGCTACAGAGATAGTGGCGTTCCTCAGCAGGCAGCAGTTCCCATCTTTCCCACTTGGCAAATAAGGAAACTGAGGCACACAGGAGTTAAGAGACGTTAAGCACAGACTCAAAACAACCAAGTTCACAATTAAAAGCCTGTGAGCTTTTCATCATGAAACTCTGTATTTCATGCCAATTTTATGGCCCCACCATGAACCTATAGATAACCTAGACAAACAGGGGAAGGGTTAATTCACACTTAGAGTTTCCCATAGCGCAGCCACCTCTTGCCCTCCCCTTTCCCCACTTCCTGAGGAAGTAAGTTATTATAAGACCCAAATAACTTAAATTCATATTAACTAAAAATAAAAAACCCAAGTGGCTGTTGTTGCTTAATCAGAAGGCACGAGAGGAACGTTAAGAAGCAATTGATGCAGTGCTTTTGAGATGCCAAGTGCTGAATTAATAATCGCCCTCCATTTAGACAGGGAAGAGGGAGGTATTTACATGCCAATTACCAGGACATTTAAATGATGTCAATGCTTATTCTGAATCTGGGCTTTAAGAAGGTTGGGTTTCTGCCTCAGTCTACTTAATAAAAGATGTGAAGGGCTTTCATATATTATTGAAAAGTATGTTTTAGTCATTCCAGGGGCTGTTGTTGGAAACTGGCCTTCCTGGAATGCGGACTGTAGAACATGTTTGTCCACCTGAGGTTGTGAACTGCATGTGCTGCAGGAAGGGGATCTCACCCACTCGCTGAGTCATGTGAGTCGCATATCATGTAGGTCTAGGAGCCTGCCCAGTGCAAAACAGTGTGCAGACTCTCTTTAAAAAACAGGAACATTGCTAAAGGCAACCTCTTTGTAACTGCGTATTTTACAAGATCCAAATGACTCTATCGTTAAATAAAGTTTAAATTAAATTAAAATATGTATCATTAGACATCAGGGAAACGCAAACAGAAACCGTGGTGAGGTAGCATTATACATCCACCAGAATGACTACAATTAAGTACACTGACATCGAGTGTTGCCGAGGATCTGGAGAAACCAGAGCTCTCATGCTTGCTGAGTGTAAAATGGTGAAATCTCTTTGCAAAATGTTGTCACAGTTCCTAATAAAACTAAATGAACACATACCCTATGTTCTAGCAGTTTCACTCCTACTATTTGCCTAAGAAATAAAAACATACGTTCACAAAAAAGTTTATATAAGAATGCTCATAGCAGTTCTACTCACAGCAGTAAAAAACTGCAAACATCCCAAGTGTCTATTCATCCATAAGAGAATGATTCTACTATATCCATAAAGTAAAATACTACAATAATGAAAAGAAACAAACTAATACACACAACAACATGGGTGAATGTCAAAAAGCATTATGTCAAGTTCACGAGGCAGCTACAAAAGAGTACATACTGCCTGGTTCCATTTACGTGAAGTTTTAGCACAGAAAGATTAATCTGTGGTGGGAAAATATCAGAAGAGTGGCTGTATCTGGGTAGTAAGATTAACCAAGAAGGGGCATGAAAGAACTTTCTGGAGTGATGATCTATATCTTAATACGAGTTTGGTTACATAGGTTTATGTGTTTGTCAAAACTCAGTGAATGTACACTTAAGATTTGTGCATTTTATTGTATGTAAACTCTACATAAGAACTATAACTGAATATGTAACTCTAGTTAATAAGGTTCATGCTAAATTATTTAGAAATATGCTGATGTCTACAGTTTACTTTGAAATGGATCAAAAAGAGGAGGTGAATGGATGTGTGAGTTCCATACATAGATCCACAGATATGATAGTGATATGGCAGGTACAGTAATAGGTTAATAGAATCTCTATGGTGTGTACATAAGTGCTTCCTGTAAAATTATTTCAACTTTGGTGAATATTTGTAAATTTTACAGCACAATGTAGAAAAACATGTTGGGTGCAAGGCAAAAGCTTGACTTTCCTGGACACCTGCTACTACCTCCTAAAGGTCCACAGGCTGATGAGAGCGGGAAGGGCCCCAGTGGCAGGCTTCCATGCAGGAGGGAGAGAGGCAGCCCTTGCAGGGACAAGCTAGGGCTGAATGGGGCTGTCTGTAGAGCCAGGTACAGTCCCCTCTCAGAGTCACTTCCTTCCGGGGCTCCTCTCCCTGCCATGCTCCATCTGCTTTACCTGGTCCCATGGAGGCTTTGCAGTACCATGACTGACTCCTCCCAGGCCGAAATGAGGGGTAGTCACTGTGCGGACAAATGGGTGCACACTGGAGGGATTTGAGGGTGCCAGGAAGTTCTCAGCCCATCTTTCCTCAAGTCTCCACCTTCTCAAGAGTGCTTTTCTCAGGGCTGTCACTATGCCTCCATCCTACTGCTCTCGGAGTGCAGACTCCATGAAGGCAGAGCCCCTAGTAACTGCTGATCACCAATGCATAGAGAAGTGCCGAGTACACAGTGAGTGCTGAAAACATGTTGATGACAAAGGCTTTCCTTCATATAAAAGTTGGAGTAAGTAAAGTTTTGGGATTTAAGTGGATAAACACAGAGACTGAATCAGTAAAACCTAGATGTGTGGGAGAGAGATGTATACTGTTTTGGAGGTTAATAACTGAGACAAAAATAAATGGACTGGAACTTTCCAAATATTTACAATTGGAATACTGCCTTTGGCACATCTCAACTCTGTCCTGGAAAATGTGCTAGGGATATAGATTTGCATATGGGTGACAGCATGTCATACTTCCAAAATGATGGAAACAAGTCCTGTTCTACTTGTTTCATTTCTATCTGAAAAAGAAATGAAAGGGCAGATGATTTGTGGCCAGTTGGGGAACAAGTTTCCTGCAAGGATGGAACTGATTCTGGTGGGGAGTTGTACTTTTCTTTCAACCCCTTAATATGTTGGACAATTTTCAAACTAATACATTGGAGGAAAAAGCTATCCATACTATAAACTTCCTACTCAAGAGCTAGAAATATTAGGAAGACCCACTAACTCTAGAGTATGAAGACAAACGGAGACATTAAAACTAAGAGAGACTCCAGTGAAACACTCCTAACGTGTAGGAGCTCGTGTTTTCAAGCTTTAAGATGGACCACAGTTTGAATAAACAGGGTCCTGAGCAGCAATAAAAAAAGAAAAAAAAAAGACAGATTACAGATTTCTCAATTGCACTTCATCCCAATGGTATAAAAAATCCCAGACCATCATTTACTGTGTTTTCCATGTGTTTAATCAGGATTGTGAGATTATATTCTTTAATGAATAGTTTCCTTAGAAACTAGTTCACTACTTTCAGGTTTCAGGGACCAATAATTTCATTCCAAAAAAAAAAATAATTAAAAAATACACAAAACAAAAAAGCATAAGAAGCTCTCTAAAAGTATAATATAGGAGACAATACATTCATGACCATAAATCAATGAAATAGAAAACAAAGGTACAACAGAAAGGATCAAAGGGAAAAGTTAGTTGTTTGCAAAATAACAATAAACCAGTTGCTGATGAGACTGAGCAACAACAACAAAGAAAGGAGAAGGCACAAGAAATCATTTTAGGAATGACAAATGAGACACAACTACAGATCCAGCAGAAGTTAAAAAGATAATGATAGAATAGTACGCAAAAAAACTTACACCAATAAAATCAAAACCAAATGAATAAATTCCTAGAAAAATATAATTTACTCAAACTGACATGAAAAGAAAAGCCTAGTCTTTAAACAATTAAGCTAATTAAATAGTTTAAAGTACTCGCTAAGCCCAGATTATTTTCAAATTTGATGAATTATCAAATTCTTTCACAGAATAAGAAATCACTCCCCCCAAAATAACTCTATGAGAGCTGTAAAACTTTGACATAAATCTAAATCAGGAATGTACAAGAATGGAAAACTATAAATATACAATCTCCTACTCCTAAAAAATACTAACAAGCCAATTCCAGGAAAATATAAATATGATAATACAGCATAACAAAATTGAGCATTTCTTCAGCATGCAAGGTAGTTTAACGCAAAAGTTGTTCATCAAACTAACAAAATAAAGAAGAAATATATGATCATTTCAACAGATGCAGAAAAATATCATTTGATAAAATTAATCTGGTAATGACAAAAATACATTTAAAATGTATAAGCTTCTTTAGGAAGTAAAGTGTGTCTATCAGAAACTTCAGCACTCCAGCCTGGAAGACAGAATAAGGCCCTGTCTCTAACATAATAAAGAAAATCAGCAATAATGCAAAAGAACACCCTGTAAGATGGCTTCTATTCAAATTGTGTTGGCGGTCCTAGCTCTTGCTGTGAGACATGAAAAGAACAAAAGAAATAATAATTGGAAAGGAAGAAATAAAAATTTATAATTTGCAAATGATTGTCTATGGAAAAAACCTCCAAAGAATCTACAGACATATTTAAAAGAACATCACACACTGGGGCCTATCATGGGGAGGGGGGAGGGTGAGGGATTGCACTGGGAGTTATACCTGATGTAAATGACTAGTTGATGGGTGCAGCACAGCAACATGGCACAAGTATACATATGTAACAAACCTGCACGTTATGCACGTGTATCCTAGAACTTAAAGTATAATAATAATAATAAATTAATTAATTAAAAAAAAGAAATTTCTTTACAGTCAAATTTATACACAAAACCCAACTGCATGTATAATAAACTATTAACTACAAAAATCATAATTTAAAAATATTCTTTTAGCAACAAAATTATGGAGTAACTAGTAATAAATCTATGAAAGGATATACTATGTATGGAAAAAATTATACAACCCTGGAGGACATTTTGAAGATGAAAATCTTTGAGAGGAAGACCTGCTTTATAAATATGTCAAATTTTCTGCAAATCTATAGATTTAATATACTTTCAAAGCAACTTTCAGCAGGTTTTCAGGCCTGTGGTAAAATACAAATAACAAAACATTTACCATTTTAACTTTATTTACTTTTTTTTTTTTGAGATGAAGTTTTGCTCTTGTTGCCCAGCCTGGAGTGCAATGGTGCGATCTCAGCTGACTGTGACCTCCACCTTCTGGGTTCAAGCAATTCTCCTGCCTTAATCTCCCAAGTAGCTGGGAGTACAGGCATGCACCACCACACCTGGCTAATTTTATGTTTTTAGTAGAGACGGGGTTTCAGCATGTTGCCCAGGGTGGTCTCAAACTCCTGACCTCAGGTGATCCACCTGTCTCAGCCTCCCAAAGTGCTGAGATTACATGCATGAGCCACTGCACCTGGCCCATTTTATCTACTTTAAAGTGTACAGCTCAGTGGTATTAAGTACATTCACACTGTTGTACAACCATTACCACTATTCATCTCCACAACGTTTTCATCTTCCCAAACTGAAACTCTGTACCTATGAAACAATAACTGCCCATTCTCTCCTGTTCTTAGCCCCTGGGAACCAATATTCTACTTTCTATGCCACAAATCTGACTACTCTAGGTATGTCATGTAAGTACAATCCTACAATATTCATCCTGTGTTTTATTTCTAAGAAACTTGACAAACTGATTACAAAACTTACATGAAATAGCCAAAGATCCTGAACAGCCAACACAATTCTGAATTACATTTCTGATATAATAATATAATACTATAGTAATATTTTATTATAACGCCAGAGTAATTACAACAGTGTATTGTTGGATCAAAAATATACAAAGAGACTAGGAACAAAATAGCCCAAAAACAAACTCCCAAATAGACGGAGATTTAATAAATGCCGAAGAGACCTTGCAGGTTACTAAGAAAGAATGTCCATTTCAGTAAATGTTGCTGGAACAACTGACTGTCCCTGAAGGAGAAAAGTAAAATTAGATCCCTTCCTCAAACCATACACAAGAATGTGTATGGATTCAATAATTAAATGTAAAAGGTGAGACTTTCAAACTTTTAAAGATACAGATTTCATGACTTCAGAATAGATGATGCAGAAAGTGTTGGATAAAAAGAAAAGACTGGTAAGTTCAACTGTAATTAATGAATTTATCTCAATCAAAAGACATCATAAAGAAAACATAAGACAAGCCACAAACATAGAAAAGATAATTATAGCATTTATAACAACAAAGGATAAAGAGCCCTTAAAAATCAATAAGAACAAGACACACACACACACACACACACACACATACACACACACACTAAAAATAGGCAAAAAAACATGAACAGGCATTTCACATAGGAACAAATACAAATGGCAAACAGACATGTGAAATCATGCTCATCCTTAACAGTAATCGTAAAAATTCAGTTTAAAGTCAGGGTGAGAGATCATTTCTTATATTGTATTGACAAAAATTAAGAAGTCTGATAGTACCAAGTGTTGGTGAGAACACAATAAGGCCCCACAAGATACATGCTGCTAATGGGGGTGTAAATTTAAACAACCACCTTGAAAAATAATTTGTCACTATCTAGTAAAGTTGAACATTACTCCATAACACAGCAGTTCCATTCCTAGGTAATACATATCATAAGGGAGTGTTTTTCAAACAACAGATTGCATATAACTAATAGGTCATAAAATCTGTTTAAGGGTTGGGGTATTTTTTTTTTCTTTTTGAGACAGAGTCTCGCCCTGTCATCCAGGCTGGAGTGCACTGGTGCATCTCAGCTCACTGCAAGTTCTGCCTCCTGGGTTCACGCCATCCTCCTGCCTCAGTCTCCCGAGTAGCTGGAACTACAGGCGCCCACCACCACGCCCGGCTAATTTTTTTGTAGAGATGGGGTTTCACTGTGTTAGCCAGGATGGTCTCCATCTCCTGACCTTGTGATCCACCTGCCTCAGCCTCCCAAAGTGCCTCACAGGCATGAGCCACTGCACCCGGCCTTTTTTAATTTTTATTTTTATTTTATTTTATTTTTTTTAGGCAAGGTCTCACTCTGTTGCCCAGGCTGGAGTACAGTGGCATGATCTCAGCTCACTTCAACCTCTGCCTCCCAGGCTCAAGTGATCCTCCTGCCTCAGCCTCCTGAGCAGCTGGGACCACAGTCATGTGCCACCATGCCTTGCTAATTTTTGTATTAATTTTGTAGAGACAGGGGGTCTCACTATATTGCCCAGGCTGGTCTCGAACTCCTGGGCTGAGCAGTCCTTCTGTCCTGGCCTCCCAAAGTGCTAGGATCACAGGCATGAGTCACCATGTCTGGCTGAAATCAATATTCTGCTAAGATCAGTTTTCTTTAAAAATAAAATGTAAAAATATCAGAGAGCATCATTAGTAATAAACAGGGAGGTAGCCACTGCTCCATGAACTGTTTGCTTCAGTTGCTTCTGAAATGGAGGTCCTATGGATATATGGGTGTCCATGGTGATTTAAAGTGTATTTCTTACTCTAAGTAATGTTCACTAAGTTTGAAAGCCCTATAAAAACTCTTGTGCACATCCCCCAGAAAACATGTACAGGGTTTTTCATAACAGCATCATGCAAAATACCAAAAAACCATACATGACCCAAATGTCCAAGATACCAGAGATTAGAATGGATAAGTACAGTGTGGCATACACACAGGATGGAAAATTACAGAATATTGTGAAGAGGAGTTCTGCAGCTATACATAACAATGTGAATGATTCAGAGAAACAAAATACTGAGTGAAAACAAAGTTACAAAATACTATATATATTGTTTTATTTATAAAGCTAACGGACAATACTGAAAGATCAATACAAACAACCAGAAGCACGGATGTTGAAGCCAGAGCGTCTGGGTTCAAATCTCATCTCTGCCACTCACTAGCCATCTAACCTTGAGCAAGGTACTTAACCTCTGTGCCTCAGTTTCCTCATCCGTGAAATGGAAATAAGAACTTACCATTTGGAAATGGTAAGCAAGTGACTTAACCTCTGTGTCTCGGTTTCTTCATCTGTGAGATGGAAATAAGAACTTACCATTTGGAAACTTGCCAAATGGAAATAAAAACTCATAGGGTTTTTAGGATTAAATCCTGTAAACTGCTTGGAACAGTGAACATGAAGTAAAAAAGGAACTCAAGGAGAAAGAACAGAATGAGCAATGTTTTAGTTTTTAAGTTGGCAGTGAGTGTATAAGCATTAATTTCACATATTCACAGATTTCTTAAAATCTCAAGTGAGAGTCAGTTACGCCAAGGCTCTATTAACGCAGGCTTCATGATAAGCCACTGAAGACAGATGATGACGATGGTCTCAGTAATACGTACCTTGTTCTCAGCTTGTCCCCCACAGATTCAGCCCAGTTTTGGAGCAGACCAAAGAGTGGTTTTTCTTCATACTGTTTGGTGTATTGGGCCAGCAGTTCCCGCCCCACAACCTGCACAGAGAGTTTATCACTCATCCGTCTCAGCAGTGTAAAAAACGACAGTATCTTTAATACTGCAACCCAATAAGATCTATTTGTCACTTAGCAAACTCCTTGGAAGGAATCAAATACAAGACCTGATTCTTAAAATGGCCTCTACTTTCCCAAGGCAGACGTGGGGCATTTATCACAACATCCCCCATCCTCCCCTGTGGCTGACTTCACTAACTGCTTACTGCTTGCTCTCTCTTCCTGCCTGTATCAGTCTCTAACAGTGGTCCTGGGACCAACTGTTTTAGCTGACCCTTTGGTACAACCCGCTTGTCTTCCGTGGACCAGATGGCTGGTCCGTTCTCTTTTTCACCCCTGACATTCTCTGGTCAGTTAGACCTTTGGGGAATAGTATTGAAATGCACAAATAAAACAATGTCTACCCTCTATCAATCTCATACTTTAGTAGCTTTAAAGTTATAATTGGGGCCTAAAATACTGCATGCTCTTCTGTGGTGGTTCAAAGAAGATGTCCATGGCTAGCCCGCTGCAGAAACTCAGCTGATGGTCAGCAACAACCACTAGACATGTGAGTGAGGCCACCTTGGACCAGCATGCTCCCACTCAGCCCCGACATGCTGCTGCCACAGCATGAGTGAGCCCAGGGAAGACCAGCAGGACAGCAGAAAAACCACATCGTGTGAGCTTAGCCCAAACTGTTGACCTACAGAATCATGAGCTAACACATTGTTGTCTCAAAGCACTACATTTTGGGGTGGTTTGTTACAAATCAATACATGGCTGATTCATTCTCTTTCAATTATCAATTTCACAATATTTCTTCTTTTCTTTATATGCATGCATGTTTTTATATAGATTATATAAAATGTTATGCATGCTTTCAATCAACAGTATATCACAAATGACATTTTTGGTTTGCACTGTTGTGTAGAATTCTATTTATTTACTGACTATATCATTTTGTTTTGATAAATCATAGCTAACTAAACATTTCCATTTGGTTGGATACTTAGGTTGTTTCCAGTTTTACATTGTCATAATAACCTTGATAGCAATATAAGCAGACAAAAAGCATAGTCATATTTTGTATTATTACCTGTGAATAATTCCCCATGAACTTGATTGATACAGAGGTTCTTTTTTTTTTTTTTTTTAAGAAACTGATGTTTATTTTCCATCAACCATTTTTCCATGTTGCTTAGGAGCCCGTGCAAGAACCGCTTAAGACCATTCAGTGGTTGCTCGTACCCATTCAGTGGCCTGAGCAGTGGGAGCTGCATACCAGTCGTCCGTGGCAGGCTGAGCACTCCAGTCTTCAGTAGGGAACTTCTGAATAGGCACAGAGGGCACTTTCACATCTTCACACCAGTCTGCAACCTCAGGCTGAGTAGCAGTGAACTCAGGAGCTGGACCAGTCCATTCACCCTGAAATTCCTCCTTGGTCACTGCCTTTTCAGCAGCAGCCTGCTCTTCTTTTTCTCTCTCTTCAGGATCTCTGTAGAAGTAGAGATCAGGCATGACCTCCCACGGGTGTTCACGGGAATTGGTGCCACACATGCGCAGAACTTCCCGAGCCAGCATCCACCACATCAGACCCACTGAGTGAGCTCCCTGTTGTTGCATGGGATGGCAATGTCCACATAGCTCAGAGGAGAATCTGTGTGACACAGAGCAATGGTAGGTAGGTTAACATAAGATGCCTCCATGAGAGGCTGGTGGTCAGCCCTGGGGTCAGTAACCACAAGAAGCTGTGGCTCCCTGAAGGCTGCCTGGATCTGGTTAGTGAAGGTTCCAAGAGTGAAGCGGCCAGCAATTGGAGTGGCTCCAGTGGCAGCAGCAAACTTCAGCACGGCCGTATTCCTGGAGGATATAACACTGACATCAGCAGGGTTTTCAACGGCAACAATGGCACGAACCACCAGCAGAAGCTTCTCCCAGGTCCTCTTCAGATTTATGATGTAGATGCCATCACTTTTCCTTTTATAGATGTACTGTTCCATCTGGAAGTCAAGATTGGTGCCACTTAAGTGGGTTCCTGCTGCAAGGAACTTAAGGACATCCTCCTTCTTCATTTGCAGGACATCAAGGGCTCCGGACATTCTGAAAGTTTCCCTTTAAGTTACGACGGGAATCGAGAACAACGCCGTATGGATCCCTCTGTAGGTAGCGCGGAAAAGATACAGAGGTTCTTCAAGAGGGCCACTCTGCCAACAAGAGGGATGCTGAAAACTTTCAAAGCATTTTTGCCTGGGGGAGCTTTACTGGCATTGGTGGGCAGAGCCAGGTGTGAAATGCATGGGATCATCTCAACCAACAGAGGACTGTGCCATACCCCGTGTCCTGTCAAATGCCATGTGGTCAAATACACGCAGGCAGTTAAGAGCCCTGAACTTAGTTACACCAAAGCTTTCAGGTTTTCCAAGTCCCAGGCCTATGGAAGAATTAAATTCCCCTGTTCCCCTGAAATTAGAGGTGCTTTAGGCCAGCACACAAGTGACACAGCCTTCTCTCCTTTCCCATCGCCATGGCAACCTGCAATGCTCCCAGGTATGACTGGTCCATTAGTCTGGGCATCTGCATTCGAGGCTGACACAGTAATTCTGAGTATAGATGCAGGCATTGTATATCTTGCTGTGTTCATGTTTACTTTATTATAATATAAATAACTTTCCTTTGGTTTCCTTAAGTAGTGTCTTGAATTCTTGCAATTATGTCTCTCGATAGGTTATGTGATCCATGATTTCATTCAGGATAGTAAAGGGAGTGTTACAAAATATTTATTGTCAAAAAGAGGGCATTAGGTCCAGTGAGACTGAGAATCACTGCATTACGGGTCAAAGAACATGTACATTTTTATGGCTGCTGCTATATAAAATAAGTGTGAGAATCAAACCCTGCCAGGATCTGGAAAAGTGGGGAAAATAAACTGACTTTAACTAGAATTAAAATTAAAGTGATATAGCAATCCAGTTCCATTTCACTAACGCAATACCAGGATTAAGATTTAACTTTGTTTTTGCTAATCTATAAAATTTATGATGGCTGTAACTCTATCTTACTCTTGCTGCAGAAGCAACGTCATTCCAAGTATGAACAAATTGCTTTCTCTGATTGCCACCCCCACAGCTTTCCCTATTGCTCTATTTTTCTCCATAGCATTTATGGCTACCTGGTGCTGCAGATCACAACTTGTTTACTGCCTTGCTGTCTTCCTACAGCCTGGAAAGCTAGTGCCAGCGGGTCGCAGTGTGTCCATCCTTGTGTCATCAGACAACGTATTGTACAGAGCCCAGAGGCGAGGACTCACCATTGAAAGAGTGAATGACTAAGTACATTCCCTTCCTGTTCTCCCTATCTCATCCAATACGTCCAATTCCTTGATAATCTCCTTTAACTTCTGCCACGATTTCCACTTTTTCCATTTAAGCAACTAAAATTGGGTAGAACTCACTCACTCTAACCAGAATTAAAATTAGAATGATACAATCATCCAGTTCAGGTGCTAAACTTAAGAAAGACAAGGGAGATAAATTTGGTTCTGGCAAACATCACAAAAGCAGATTACTCACTTTGGATCTCTGCTCCTTTTCTAGGTCATAAGATAAGGAAACATGATTTTTCAAATGAGTTTCTTTTCTGCTGTTGATGCCCCCTTGGTGAAAGATTAAGTGATTGAAGCTGTCAGCTACCATGGGATTTGGGCGTTACAGTCTCTCGGTCCAGTACTTTATTTTATAACTTACCAGGCAGAGGCAAAGAGAGATCAGTCACCACCTAGACTGAGTATGCAATGAAGATGTGCTTGTTTCACCTCATAGAGGTGTTCCTGAATATAATATACTATGTAGGATGTATATGTGTGTGTGTGTGTGTGAGTGTATAATTTTTAACTCTATTTAAAAATAATTGTAGGCTCACACAAGTTGCAAAGTTAAAAGCGCACAGAATGATTCTCTCCAGCCATCACCCAGATTCCCCTAAAAAGTGATCTCTTGGCCAGGCGCAGTGGCACACGCCTGTAATCCCAGCACTTTGGGAGGCCAAGGTGGGTGGATCACCTGAGTTTAAGAGCCTGGCCAACATAGTGAAACCCCATCTCTACTAAAAACATTAAAAAATTAGCCAGGCATGGTGGTGCGTGCTTAGAGTCCCAGTTACTCAGGAAGCAGGAGAATCGCTTGAACCCAGGAGATGGAGGTTGCAGTAAGCTGAGATCACATCTCTGCACTCCAGCCTGGGCGACAGAGTAAGACTCTGTCTCCAAAAACAAAATAAAAAAGTGATCTCTTACATAACAATGGTGACTATCAAAACTAAGAAATTCAAAACCAATTTTATTCATTACATGTTTTAGTTCTAGATATTTCATTCCTTAGAATGGACCTAGTAGTAGATTGTTTAATAAAGTGAAACATTTTCGGCAACACAAGTGATTACATTCTCCTCTAAGTCTGGTGGTCTGGTGTTTTACTTATTCGAGGTTTCCTTAAGACAACTTGTGATAGGTGATTGTGGGTGGTGTTTTTGTGGCTCTTCATACAGTTCTCTGGTTCTGCACTCTTTATTTTCATATACACCTGCTCAGGAGCCCCTTTCTTAGTAGAACTCTAGGGTGAGTGAGCAGTCAAAACATCCACATCTTTTCTTTTAAAAAAGATCCCATCTGCAAGAGGAATCAAGCAAATCTACAGCCAACATTTGGAAACTATGAGTCTTAGCAATTGTGCAGAATGATGACATCATCAACATACATTTGCAATAAATATCATATGCATCATGCAACATGATTATGTAACACCAATAAAAGTTATTTTTAAGGTCAAATCACTTTTCAAGGCATCTATGAAGCAACCAGCATTTCCACACACTAAGCATTTCACTGATTTATGCTAGGTACAGTGAAACTTGGATTAAAGAGCCTAACAAGTAGAGTTTGCTGCCAAGGCAGAAAGACTTAGAGCCAATTATAATAGAAAAATGTGATTTCTAAGGAGAGCCCA